ACAATAAAATAGGTATTTCTGTTTTTAAATTTTTTAATAAAAATTTGTTCCTACTTTTTTGTTTTTTTTTCTTTTCATTTTTACCATGCAATTTACCCTAATTAACGGTATAAATGACATTACAGTATTTTGTGTGTTTTATATTTCTTATGCGGAACATTTACTGAAACGACCGCTATCGTCGTATTTCTCTACAATATGTAGGCATAAAACAAGTGACTTCTAATTATAACTACTCATTTATTTTCTAAACAATTGCAGCAATTGTATCATAATCAATTAAGAAGGCAGCTTTTGCTCTTTTTCATTGACTCTGATTTATCTATTTGATTGGTTCTTTTTATACATTTGTATTAATATTTTATTTTTAATTATATATGGTTAAGACTAAAGCGAAATTTTTGTTTTTTTAAATCAACTATTTACTTTAATTAAGGTGTACTTTTAAAAAATAGCCCTGTACTGTTTAATTTTGCCCATTGAAATGCAAAACCCCTTTTGCCTTATGTAAAAAATTAAATTTTGTAAACTCATGCAATTATNAATGAAACTATGCCAAAATTGTGATGAAGGCTCCACGTCCTTAATATTTTTAATGGCTCACAGGCCTAGCCAATTATGATAAAACGTCAATGATATAACCGATATCTGTAGTTATGGTAGGGAACCAGTGTGGAACATTTTTCGTGGTAAAAATACTTCATTAATTTTACATTTGATTTAGTTTATCAAGTATATACGACCTTACGGTATTATAACGAGGCTTAAGACATTTTGTGGTCATTTTTTACATTAGTTGACCCAATCATATTCAATTTTAATATTTAACTGGACATTTAAAACAAAACAATGTTTTAAATAAAAATAAAAAAAAATTAGGTATTCTTTTGTTTTAATAGGCAGCCCATCAAAGCCAGCCAAAATTTCCATACAAATAAAAACAATAGGAATAATAACTAATTTAATAAGTAGATATTCCAATTAATTTAGTAATTGAAATTAGGCTTTGCACTAAAACACTTACACAACCTATAACCCACATGCACCTTTTTCTTTAGTTTTACCTACACCACTATATTAATCTCAAATAAACTCACTAATATGGAATTTATATTGACTCGTCCTTTAATCTTTCTCCATAGCATCCATGACCAGATTCTGAGATGATTTTAGCCGTAGTGTACAAACAAATTCGATCCATTATTAACTGAAATGGTATTAGAATTAATTTTATGGAAGCACAACAATAACAGCGATAGCTACAAACAGAGAATAACACCCACCACATGCCTCAACTGCATTCTTATTAACAGAAAATAGGATTCAGGTAAAGTAAATTAAATGAATATACTCACAAAAGCTGTAAAAACTAATTTTCGAAAATTTGTCGTATTTGGTTTTTAAAAACATTTCGCGACACAATATTCGTTGTTTACTCCAAAACGTACATAAACAAATTTCGCAGTTCCAAGGTCGTCTATCATAAACGTCATAAACATGTGATAAACATCCTCAATTCCATAAGTACAGGTCGATAAGGGGCTAGAGCACTGGGGGTTACAGCTGAATCGGCGCCATCTGGCACTACTTCTCTCGAACTGTTTGCAGGTTGCGCGCTCTAGGTCGTATCCGAGATAAGTAACGCTAATGTACTAACAGAGGCCACCAACTTCACTTTAGATACAGGGTGTTCCCAACTACGAATGGATCCACTAATTTTTCAAAAATGTATACCTAACTAATTATATTTACCGAAATTAATTGAAAAGATGTACTTGTCTTTCACATATGTATCATTATAGGGGTTGTTTGTTTTGTTTTCAAAACTCGTTTATTTATTCCAGATTTGCAGTTGCATCCATTCTTAAAGATCAAAAAAGAAGGTAATTCAACAACGGATGAAGATGATTATTTAGATTGGATTTACCGCTAATATAATCAAGTAATTTCTTGTCTCCTCCCCCCCCTCACCCTCACTCATCACGGAGAGGATGAAAATCGTGGACACCCGGCGCTGGATAGATTAAGGCTTCGGTGAACCCTATTGAGGTCTAGCCGACGCTTCAAAGTAAGTCACTAGTGAATATTGTTTCAAATAGATCTGAGTGACAAGTTTTTATATTTCCATATTTGTATTTCTATTTTTGATTTTTATTATTTTGGGGCTAATTTGATTTTTGTGCCCAATAAGG